CCCACCAAAACGCGTGGCAGAAGTTAGTACTGTATATTTAAATCTATTGAGAATTTATTTAATTTTTTATTTAACTTTACAAAATTTATTTCTAGATTGTGGGAGACAATCCAAACAATCCTTTTGTTGTATTAAAGACAGCTGATGAAATCAATTTGAATGACCTTACAGCATCTGACGAAAGTAATTCAGATGGACCATATCAACCATGTTCGGACGGCCTCGATGATGACACTTTTGTTGAACCTGACGACAACAATTTTAGCGAAATCAAGAAGAGGAGAACCAAATATACTCGCGATTGGTTAATGGGACCAGGTATTATGAAATTCACATTAAGTACTAACTGATGCAAAGAAAAGTGGCGGTTGAACTTCAATTTAGATCTATTTAGAAAAGATTTTAATTTTTTCCTTATATATGCAGTCGCACTCGATATTTCAAGTATATTATTAAATATCGGTCATGTCGGCTAGAATGTCCAGGATTATGATAGCATATAAAATATTCGATTTGTATGATTTGTATAATTTAAAGAAACACGCATAATCTGCGTATAATTTAGCTTTTTCAATGAATAAAGATACTCTATTGGCCAACGAGCATCATTTATGTTGACAAAATTCAGTTACACGAAATAATATTATCACCGACATTATAAGTCGGCCTAAATTATATTGTAACGCCAGCTTGATTCCGGGTAGTGTTATAATTTTTCATAATTTTATGTAGCATAAATAGCGCTGGCAGTACTTGATACGTATACTTTTTAAATCATAGCTCCAAATGTAGTAACAGTTATCGATTGATAAATACCGGTCAAACTTTGTTACGTAGTATGATTTGTATATTTGTCTTGAGCCAATAATATCATTCTCATGTGTTTATTTTATGCGATTTTGGCAAAAAATTTTGGTTTATTTTGAAAAATTGCTTTCGAAAAATTTCCGTGTCATACAGGGGAATCCCCAAAATTCTGGGTCGGAATACATCGAATTTAGAGGTTTTTTTTTAAAAAAGGTTACTGAAATTAGTAAAGTATTCATCGAGAAATATTGGCTTAATTTTAAAAAACCTCTAGGATTTTTATGGCCGCCAACGTATTCGACGTATTCCGACTAGGGATGGTAAAAAAACATTTTAAAAATGTTTTCTGTGTTTTTTAACTGAAACACAAAACCGTTTTAAAACATTGATAGCTGGGTTCGAGATTGAAATAATTGTTTGATTAGTTAATTTCTGTACCGAAAAAGTTCCATAATATCTATCGTTTTGAGAAAACATTCATACAAAAAAAATTCTTTTATTAAATTATCATATTTATTTATAATTAATAAAGATCTTAATTGATCGACCTTCTCAAGTTAACTAGCCAGATGATTTGTAATAGTTATTTCCTGGGCAGTTGGGTATAAGCGGGGCTGAAAGTCCCGCTTATCACATAGTGCCCAGGACATAACTGATTTATGCCCTGCGATCTTGATATAGTGACCAGGGTATAATCTGCATTCCACGGAATGCCGCAGAAATCATGGAATCAGACTGTAAACGCAGAATGTATCAAAGATAGCACGGAATTGTCGCAGAATGTTGAGATATAGAACGGAAATATCACGTTTATAGGTAAAATATAGCTTCCGAAAGGTCACAACATAGAAAACATAGTTGAGCTAAAATTATCCGAAATAATCCAAGAATAAGCTATAAAATTGGTACAGAATAATGCAAAATTCATAATACAATTAACGCATAATTCATCATGGAATTTGGATTTTTCGCAAATGCACGGAAACTAATTCTAAATTTTTGAAAACGAATTTAAAAACCATGATAATATAGGATTTATAAGACAAAAATTGTTAATTTATATATATTAGATTTCGGCATTGCTTCGGTTTTATTTCCGCAACTGTTTCTACGGCATATGTACAGTATTAATTTGACGCACAACATAGAATAAAAAAAATTTAACTGATATCATGTAAATATATTTATTTAATGGATGTCAACAAACTTGTCAATAATGGATACATCTTGATTGTTATCCTTAATTTTTTGCCTTCGACTAGTGACATATAATTTCGCCATGTTTGAATTGATAAACTTTATTTTATCGTTAAATATTATACAAAAAAAAAAATAAAGATGCTTCGTAAATCTTTTACTTGTCCAAACCACCGCGTAAGTGTACAGTATCTCTTCAGTGGGAAGGCGAACCCAACTCATCTCTCGCCGGTACACGTTGTGGCTTGGTTTCAGTAGAGCGGTTTGTTCAAGCTTTGATTCAATAAAATAAATAAATAAATAAAGGTGTATATAGTCAGCGTAGTGTTTTTGAGAAGTATATCTTTTACCGTTTTTTCTTCTTCTTCTCCAAAATCATTGGAATTCTTTCAACGAAGTGTTCTTTCAAATTGCATTCGCTATGCTTTCTTTCCTTCTAATTCAAGGAGGTTAAAGTTGTATTTTTTTTAAGTGCAGTAGCTAATATTCTTATGGCATTTTTATAATTTCACATCAGCGGCAGTTAACAAGGACGCACGAGAATAATGAACCTTCAAGGTTATTAAATATTTTGACTAGGATCTCGGTTGGAAAGGTAGAAGAAAAAGAAGTAGCGATAGTAAAAGTGATAAAAATTAATAATAGAAAAAAAAAAAAAGCCCTTATATATCTGATTCTTTTTTCAAACGCGTAAAATTGAAGCCATTTCGTATTGTTATTGTTATTTACACTTTATTTATCCTTAGTTGGAAATAAAGCATCATAAGATGTCACGTAAATATTTGCAAAAATTGACTGGTGTTTTTGTATGGAGTGATGTTTTAAAAAACCCGTTTGGGGTCTAGATTTGGTTTCCGATCCAGGTACGTAGGTACTGTACGCGTATTATCTATGAAACTCAAGTAAACAACCGTAAAACTTATATCTTGATACGCCCCTTCTATGAATACTTCTATTTACGGAAATTTTTGTTTTTTTTCGAATAACGATTTTCAATGAGTTTACTATTTCAGTTTATCAGTAATTTTTATCACGCATCAGACCGCAGAAAATTATAGGCCCTGGCCAAAATGTAAGAATTTTTGGCCAGAATTAAATCTGTTATCAGCTGTAATCAGCTGTTATCAGATCATCATCCCTATTGGATAAATTTTTTGTTGTTGCACAGAAAATTTGTATTATGTATAAATACACGAGTTTTTACCCACACATGTAAACAACGGTCTTTGTACTGTTTCAAGAGAACTGGCCGCTCCAAAGGTATTGCCTTTGTTGAGTTCTCTCCAACCTCGTTAGGTCGATCCGAAGATATACTTGTCTTCGTTGATTTCGCTCTGAAGATTTACTCTTCGTTGATATTTTATATGTTCGCTTGGACAGCGTTACCAAATAGCCCGTCTTTTCTTTTATCCTTCTTTTGACGGACCAATAAGCAGGATATGGAGGTGGTTTCTCTTCTTAAAATTTCTTCTCTTT